TTTTTTTCTCTATCTTTTTTCGTTTTTGTAAAACATTTTTAACTTCCCGCCGGTTCCGCCCCCCTGCGGCGCGGACGCTCGCAAGGGACGGAACTCGGAAGACGGCAGCGGCTGGAGGACACAGCGCGGATCGTGGACAAGGTAAGACCTACGCTGTATTCCCGAGTGTGGCTCGGAGTTACCGCTTTGTTAACCCTGAGCCACACTCGGGAATACCAATGGATACGTGCTGCAATTGGCCCCTACGCGCAAAAAAGAAGCTCAAGTACTTTTTTGCGCGTAGTGCGTTTTTCAGCGCGAAAAATCGCGCTGAAATACGCCCAGGTGGGAACCATGCCCATAGGGATTGATAAGATTTCACTTCCTGGGCGTTTTTCAGTGCTGAAAAACGCTCAGGTGTGAACCCAGCCTTACAGAATATGTTTTTGTTTTTTTGGGGTTTCTTTTATACAGGTCCTTACATTTAAACAAGTTACTTGGCAGACCCTTCGCATTGAAGCTGATGCATCAGAAAACTGTGACGATGCCCCAACCACTCCTCTACGCCTGCTTACAAATGGGGGGAGATTGAATCTAGCACTTAAAAGAAGGGTAAGATTTATTGTAAAAACTAATTTTGGTGCTACATATATAGCTTGCTTTGTCATCATACCTCACTTTCTAACCATATTATCACCTCTGTTGTTCAGCACAGCACTAAGTGTACTGTGTTGTGAGGTACAGTTGAAATTTACATTTACAGTTTTACTTGACAGATAATTTTTTATTCTGGTCATACATTTACACACATGTGCCACACTGCACAACCAGGCAGATTATGCACTTATTTCATTTTTTTCAGTGGAGGACACAGCTTCTGCTTTAGATCATCACATACTGGGCATAGTGCCACCTGCAGAAGTAGGCTAGTAAAAATTGTAAACTTTTGTTGCTAGAGAAAAGATGTCCACTCCCCTAGGACAAAAGCAAAAAACTGAAGCATGCTGGGAATGGGATGGGTTATACCTAGCTGACAAACCTTTTTTTTTGTCACTGCCCAATTCCCACTAAAGGTGGCAGTATAACCCAATTGTCAAAGAAAAACCTTCGACATATTTTTTATTTTTATTTTTCCCTTTGTTGGGGTGGCTCCATTGGTATTGTTTCCAACTCCGTATGTCCTTGATCACCCCCATTGGAATATTATGCTAGATAGCTGTCTATCTTGATGATCTCCAACAAGATTGGATTGCTTTCTTAGACAACCTTACACTGGCTGGTCTTACCTGACCTGTTGTCTAATTTTCCCTTGGGGGTCTGTTCCCTTTGGTGACCAGTCTTGTTGGTCTGTTTTCTCCTTTTGGGTGGATACTCCATCTGTTGGTGGTTGCTTTGGCTCACCGCTTCTGCTGGTGTGGACTCAGTGCCGTTCGAGCTAGTTATTCCCTTTTGTAAGATCCTTGTTCTGGTCTGAGCATCAAGCAGATCCTCAATGACCTCCCATTTTTGTTTTTTGGGGTTTTTTGTTTTTTCAGCCCAGCCAAGAGTTAGGGCTTTAAAGTGCTATTCTCAAGCTTCTGTTAACTGACTGCCTAGGCACAGTCTCCCAATATCTGGATGAGAACAATATCCTGTGGGAGTAATGCCATTATTTTGCTGTAGATAGGGCGAGGCATTTCCTCAGTTTCTCCTTTCCCAGTCAGACTGCAACTTTCTTGAAGTTTGCAAGAGTTACTTATTAACAACATTGTACCTTATTTGTGCATCACTCGGCTGTAGATCGTCTAATAATCTCTGAATTCATGCTGACACTGTCCTTCCTTCTGGAGGGTGGCTACTTTTTTTCCCCATGGTCCCTGTGTGTCATGAAAAAGTAGCCACCGCTCCAAACTCGCTCCCGTGATCAGGTTATCATTTCAATACAAATGGGTAAACTAGATGTAAGATTGTAGAAGTAGAGTGAGCTTGGAGCTGTGGCTACTTGACAACACACACAGGGATCATTGGAAAAAAAAAGTAGCCACCATCCAGAAGGAAGGGCAGTGTCATCCTATTTTTAAATGGCTTCATAAATTCCAAAATGTAATCATGAAAAACAAGCCTTTCTTCTTTATATGCATTCTTCTCCTGAGCTACTGTATTTAACATACTTGTGTAATCTAATGTTGTGATTTGTGTATCTGCTCAGATCAAAGACTGCATGGTGCTATCCTCCAAGCTTTCCTTCTTCTTAGATGAGCTGTTGTGGGTCCTCACGGACTCTCAGCTTCGGGCTTTACTTTCATACACCAAATCCTTAAGTGAAGCTGTGCAGAAATCAGTGAGACAGAGGAAGCAGTTAGGAGAGCCTCAGGTAAGAGTTATCAGTAAAACGTTAAAGTGTAACTCCTACCAAAATTACATTTACAATGGAGTGGAGGAGAACCTTTTGCCTGGTTTTTATTGCTGGTAAAGCTGTTGGAGAGATCTCGCTTTACTTCCTGTCTTAGTAACAACACCCTTACTAAAATACAATAAGCCTTTTTTTCTGTTTAGCTTCCGTGCCAGTGACTACAAATCGTACCCATACATCAACAAAAATCTGAAATTTGAAGCCTTCCCCTCTGTATCTAAAAATTAAGAAAACTATTGGCTAAAGTTCCACTTCAACACATGTATTAATTTTAGTTTTCAGTGTTTTTTTTCTGCTGTGTTAATACTGTATTCACTTCCTGCTCTGTACAATTCTTCTTTTCCACAGGTCCCCTCTCCCACTGCCCCTCCCCCATGGTCTCTCTCCCCTCCTCCTTCCTCATCATCTAGTCTAGGTCAATACTTCGAGAAGTTTGATGTGAAGGAGACCTCTTATCATCTTCTCATATCAAAGCTGGAGTTACACGTGTGTGATGAAAGCCAGACAAAGGGTACAGGTAAATGTATATGAAAATATAAATATAATACATACTGTATATGAGAGCTGTTTGTTTGGGCACTTATTTTACATAGTAAATTACGTGTGTCATTAAAGGTTACCTTTAAAATAATACCTTTTAAATTAACTCAGCAGTTAAATCTTAAAAATGTATACAAGTACCTTCATTTATTAATAAAAATGTATCTTATTCGTGTATCGCTCAGTTGTAGAACCTCAAATCATCTCTGAATTGGTGCGGACTCTGTCATTCCTTCTGGAGGGAGACTACTTTTGTCCCCCATGGTCCGTGTGTGTGTGTGTTGTATAATAGCCACCGCTCCTAGCTACTATACAACACACATAGGGACCACAAGGAACAAAGGTAGTCACCCTCCAGAAGGACAGTGTCAGCAGAAATTCAGAGATGATTTTAAGATCTACAGCTGAGTGATACACAAATAGTTTTGTTAGTAGGTAAGGTACTTGAATGCATTTTTAAGATTTAGCTCCTGAGTTTAGTGTCACTTTAAGGGCCCATTCACATCATAGTATAAGGTTTCACTGCACCTTGTGGACGCTACTGCACAACACAATGCAGCGTGCACTGACGTGTTGCATCGTAATTCATTCAGTATCGCACCTTAACGCACCTCCTGGTAGGCGTTGTGCTGCAATGCACAGCGACAGAACACATGCTGTTGCCCTCAGTTCTGTCGCTGTGCACTAATCAGTTAATCGATTAGTTGGTTGCTGCCCTATTACATTCCATTCATCACCTTAACTCCAGCTTAAAGTAAGAAAGTACTGTGTCATTCAGAGTATGCCTAGTATTTTTATTGCATTAATACATCTCTGATTGGATGAGAGGTAGTGATGTCATGATGCGCCACTCATCCAATCAGCGAAACCCTTGTGTTTATTAATAATGATTTTAATGTTTAATGATTTTTTTTGTAACGCCTGCCCTTTTTCTTCTAGTGTCAGGTGGCGCTATACAAGTTACTTTGCGCAGAATTAACCTGGATTATTATCCTACCCATAAAGCAGGTAGGTGTTTTTCTACTGCTCTAATTAGTGATCCTCTTTTAGGTTTGAATTTTACTTGGATTGTTGACCGGTTAATGTATCTACTCCACACTGAATCACTGTATGTATAAAATAGTGGCTCTGTGCGATTGTAGAAAACTGCTTTTCATGCCCTTCTCCCAACTGACTAGACTTTTGGTTTTCCTCCATGTTGTTTTGCAGCAAACTGTAAAAAAGCAGCATGCCCTTTCGTTCTTGCGGCAATTACTTTGTATGTGAACAAGTATTGGAAATGAGCCCTAAGTGTTCAACAATCTAACAATCTGAACATTGGTGCCAGGAGGACAGCTTTAAGCATTGCCAAAACTATTGAATTGTTCAGCATCGGAGGTGGTAATCTCAAAGCTGTACAATGAATTGACCAGAGCACCTGATATCTCTCTAAAACATGTGCTAGCTGGCAGGAGCTACTTGGTGAATAAATGTGAGTTATGCAGGATGGCATGGGTCATAATGGCACATCACAAGTCCAAGATTCCTTTAACAAAACTGTACTTGTAACCTCAGGAAGCCTATTAAAGTAAACCTGTCATAAACCTCGGCAATGAAGGTGATCTTGGTGAGAAATGCTTGTTCAAGCAATCAGTAGATCTAGTTATGTAGACAAAGTTATATAACGTTATATAAATGTTTCCACTTTTTCTGTAAAAAGTTGATCTTGGCACCCTATCCCCTCACCATTGGCACTTAAAAGGCAGAGCTCCATGGAATGCACTCAGTTATAAACTCAGCTAGGGCTGCAGCTAACTATTATTTTCATAATCGATTATTTAGCCGATTATTAAGTTCGATTAATCGGATAAAAAAAAAAAAGGCTCCAGTGATGGACTACTAGTTTCTATTGAGATTGTAGTCCTACACACACAGGCAGCATTAAAAAGCTCCCGGCCGATCTCCACTTACCTTGGTGTTGTCGGCGGGCAGCGGCGTTGATCATGTCGGCGGGCAGTGGCGAATCGGGCAGCTCACCGGGATGAGAGGGCCAGACACATGTCCTCAGCGTGGCGTAAGCGGCGTCACGTGAGCGGGTATACCGGCGTAGGCGCGAGCGGCTTAAACGACGTGGGCATGGCGTAAGCAGCGGGCGTAAGTGGCGTAAGCGGCGTAAGTGGCGTAAACGGCGGGCGTAAACGGCGAGCGGGAAATTTGAATTTTAGCCGACGAATTGACGATGGAAAACGTTGACAACGTTTTCCATCGTCGATTTTAATCGACTTAATCGAATAACTGTTGCAGCTCTACTCAGCTTGACTGAGCTTACTGGTAAACTGGGTGGAGAGGAGAGGGGTGGGGTGTTGAGTAGCAACTGGCACTAGCTTATTAACAGAGACAATAGTAACGGGTTTGAGTTTCTAACCCCCATCGTGGTACACGTGCAGACATAAGATCATCACCAAATTTTGTGACTATCATTTCTACGGGTACCTGATGTTCTTAAGGGCTTAGAGGGTAGGCAGAGCTTATTCTTCCTTTCCATGATTGTCTGTAATATCTGATTGTGTGCTTTTGTTAAAGACACTAGACCAGGGGTAGCCAAACTTTGGCCCTCCAATTTTTGGTAAAATACAAATTCCATCATGCCACTTTCTCTGTGAGTCGTCATGCCTGTGGTGAGTCTTGCAATGCCTTATTGGACTTGAAGTTTCACAAAAGCTGGACACCAAGGTTTGGCTAACCCTGCAATAGATTAGCGACTTCTGGAACAGAAATATTTGTGAATGTTAGTATTCTCTGTATAAGGCTGTAGATATCGCAGCTGAAAGCTAATGGGATGCCATGAGCAGCAGCAAAAGTTTTTTTTTTTTTCCTGTTGAATAGTTGTTACAGAAAATCTAGTATTAGAAATGAAAGGTTGTAAGTTTTTCTACAGTAAATGAGTCAAATTGATTTAGTAATGTTCAAGTACCGTGTTTCCCCGAAAATAAGACACTGTCTTATATTTTTTTTGGCTCAAAAAAACACACTAGGTCTTATTTTCGGGGTAGGTCTTATTTTCGGGGAAACAGGGTAGCATAGAGAATTAGTGAAGCACTTCAGTCAACTAGACCATGATTGGCATGCAGGGTGAACACGACTTATCTTTTTTACTAAACTATACACTTTTCAAAGTGCACATGCGCCTTGCTAAATGAACAGCCTCTAATCTTTTAGTACATTAACGTCACAGTGTATTTAAAGTAATAGTTTGCATGAACTTTATTCTCAGTGTCACGAATCCTTGCACCTTGTACTAGACAATGAAGCTGGGGAACAACAATATTGATTTAGAAAAGACAAATAGGTAGAAACGTATAGTGTACAGGAAAGTAAACCTACACAAGGTCAAGGTAACCACTGTGACCGTGTCACAGTATTATACAGTATTAATGAGTAACTTCTCAATATATGATGAGTATGAAGAAGCCACTAAACATACGATTTAAAACTTTTTTTTTCAACGTTTTGGATAGAGTGAAAAAGGTTTGCATCCTCTGTCAAGTTTATATTGCCTTCTGTGTCCTGTTGCGGAACCATGCATTACAGTTCAAAGCACATCTGCTGCGGCGGTGTATTGGGGTGTCATTCGAAATAAATGGCAACACAACACAGCGCACCTAGCATGCTGTGTATTGTGTATGGTGATAACATGTGCTAAATGCAAGTGCAATGCTGTGGTATGAACTAGCCCTTAGGCTGGGTTCACAGCTAGGCGTATCGAATATGCGCGTGTCGTGCCGCATGTTTTTACTGCGATTCGCGCGTTTCCGAGGGCTACCTGGCTGTATCCCAATGGATACGTGCAGCAAATACGCCCCAAAGAAGCTCCAGTACTTCTTTGGGCGTAGGGCGTTTCCTACTCGCTGTAAAACGCCCAGGTGGGAACCATGCCCATAGGCAATCATTGGTTTTCACATGTTGAGCGTTTTACAGAGCGCAGGAACGCGCTGTAAAACGCCCAGGTGTGAACCAGGCCTTAGAGTTGTTGCTAGAGCAGGAGGTGAGGGTAGATCTTCCAATGCGGCAACGGTTCTGGTGACAACTGTTTGAGATAGAAAATTATTTCACTCTGGAGAGATTCCCTCATATTTCCTGTTGCGTCTCCAGAACTGGAAGTGAAAGTCAATTTTCCCAGTGGGAAAGAGGCAGGAAAAATAACAGGCAGGTGATTAATCATTCCTTACTCTAACCAAAACTAAAAGAGAAAAAAATGAGAAAAGAAATATATGAAGATAGACCACTCATAGGTGTGTGGGGATACAATTGAGAAGTATACTACAAAATAAGAAAAAAAATATACATATAACATATAGAGACTGATCCCTTCACAATCAACTAGAAATGGTAATATAATTTTTTTTGTTAAAACACATGACTGTGCCATGAGCCACGTGTCATTTGGACATTTTTACCAGTTTTGTACAGATCCTTTAGCCCTGTGCAATAGCTGCTCCAGCTAAGTATACTATTCAGTTTCCTATATAGTCTAATTGCGTTGAGAATTGGGGGACATGTAAGTACAGGATATTTTAAAATATTTTAAAGTGCTATAAATTCCATATATTTACTTTTAGAAAGCAGGGCATGTGGCATTCACCAAACATTCCCTGCAGGTGAATCAATCACTGTAATTTAAAATACATTCACCAGGAAGATACACCAGCAGTGAATGCTTAGTGAATGTTATACCATACAAAGAAAAAAGGTTTTTAAAAGGTTAACACTCATATATGCCCAAATACATTCAATGTACTTTAAGTTTACAAATGTGAAGCCTCCTTTTATGCTATTTTTTGAAAACCATAAGCTAAATGGATCTATATATAGAAGTATGACCACTTTCCTAATGTCCAATTATGTTTCTTTCTCATCTGTTGAGGAACACAGCAAGTCTTTCACCTTTAGATTATACTGATGCCTACGAGAGGATTGGACTGGCAAACAAAAAAAACAAACATTAGGATTAGCAGTCCAGGATATCCCAGGATACTCTTCTGGTAACAAGTTAGCTGCAGAGATTTTTCCATGTCCAGATCCGTTGTCATAGCCTTATTGGTTGCTTTGTCTCCAATGAGTCACTCTCATTGGAGTGTCTGTCTTTCTCTCTCTCTTCTCTCTCCCTCCTCCCCCTATCTCGCCCTCTCTCTCTCCCTGAGCACCAGAAGAATTTGCTTGGATCTCAGGACACCTTAAAATTATTTTTTCACCGGTTCGTACCATGGAAGGGGCTAACATCCTCTGCTAGGTCCTCTGTCACACACATGCTCCATGCTTTCTTTCCCACTATTTATTGTCGAGGAAACATCTCCCTGCTGCTGCTTCTACGTTGCAAAGAGCCACATGTTACTTCAGTCTATTTGTGGTACCCAGTGACTTTGGTCAACTTCGGCCATATGACCCTCAATTTCGAGATTGGGACAGTCCCGCTGTATCAGGTGCCCCCAGCTCACATTCTGCTAATGGCTCTAGTGCTGCTTGCTAACACTGGTGCAGCTGACATCGACATCCTGGAAATATATGCCCTTTACTATGATCCTAGAGTCACTTCCATCTTCAAGTTGTCCTTGGCTCCGTCGCGTGTGGCTGGTCACAGTCCTCTGCTATTACTTCCAAATTAAAAATTATTTTTGTTGATGTAGTGCACACAATTCTTAAACTAGAGGATCAGCCTGTTTCTTTCTATCAGTGCTATTCCCAGTCTTGACCACAAAGACTTTCCTGGTGCACCCATTGTTTCAGGTTTTCTGCAAAGGAAATTGGAAACACCCTGACAAGTTTGGGTCACAGTCCACCCGCAGGGCCTAAGGCTCAAAGTCCACCAAATCCTCAAAATAATCTTTCTTCGTCCATCCCAAGGAAATTTCACTCTGTTGTCTGGACGTGGTTCTGACTGTGAAAGTCTATCTCTTCAGGAAAACTGATTTCCTTTTTTGTAACCACAGATAGACCCTGTAAAGATTCACCAGCTTTTTATTACATAATTT